ATAAGAAAAACTTTTAAGTATCCATCTTTTCGTTTTAAGAGATGCACCATTAAATTACTAGATGTAACAAATAAAAACGACATTCCTGAAATAATAAAAAATTATCACGAGAGCGAAACTAATCATCGCGGTATAGACAAAACTGAAATAAAAATCAAAGCACGATATTATTGGCCAAATCCCAAAAAATCAATACAAACCTATATCAATCAATGCGAAATTTGCCAAAGAACCAAATATGAAAGGCACCCAGTAAACATCAAAATGAATATAACGCCGACCGCATCTCGTCCTTTTGAAATCATATTTTTAGATACATACACTTTAGAACAAACTAAATTCTTAACTATATGTAACTATATGCAAAATATGCGCAAGCTTATTGTTTAAAATCTGCCGCAGCTACCGAGATGGCTGATAACTTAACAAACTTTTTCTCTCACCACGGTATACCAAAACAAATAATTGTTGATAATGGTACCGAGTTTAAAAATACAGTTATTACAGAGTTACTAAGCTTACATAAAATAAAAATTCATTTTTGCTCGCCCCACCATCCGCAATCAAACGGCAATGTCGAGCGACTTCATTCTACTTTAGCCGAGCACATTCGATTATTAAATAGTCAAGGCTTTCAAAAGTCTCCAATATATTGTAAAATGATATATGCTATATTAGCCTATAATCATTCTGTCCACTCCGTCACCAAATTAAAACCCATTAACATAATAAATGGTCATATAACTTCGGATGACCCCTTTGATCAAAAACTGGACCAGTTACTATTAAGTAATTACGTAAGTGAACATAAAGAAAAAATCAAAATTACTATATTCAAAAATCAATCAAGGTCTAATCGAAAATAAAACAAAAATAATTGAAAAACGAAACGAAACCCGTGACAGTCCGGACCTGTTTCAAGCCAACCAACAGGTGTATATACGAAAACATGAACGCAAAAAACTTGGAGATAAATTCTCAAAATCCACTGAAATTATATCCGCGAACCCAGAGCGACATACGGTAGCAACAGATACGCAAGCAAAATTACATATGGACAATCTAAAAAACCGCTTAGAAACACGTACAGTTTTGATTAAATTCCGTTAACACTAGGTTTTACATTTCAGGCTTGTCGGCTTCACTTGTGGCTTTTATGATGAAATAACTTTAAGAAAATTGGACAACAATCCCGGAATTATGCCAGTAAAATTGGGAAATGCAAAATCAATCGAATATACTTACACTTTAATCCATTATTTGATTTAAATCCAACAATATTGGAAACTAATAAATTATATTTAAAAAAGGAAAATGTCTCAGAAATAATATCCTGCCACCCGGGATATTACAATGATAGTCAAAATTATATTAAACTTCTAAACATTTTCGAATCTAGGATTGAAAATAAAGTTATAGAAATCCTTCCGCATTAAAAAAGATCTAAGAGAGGGCTAATAAATGCACTCGAATCTGTTTTTAAGGCTATTACAGGAAATCTTGACGCTTCTGACGGAGAGCATTATGAACAGCTTATTAAAAACTTACAGCGCAACCAAAATGAGTTAGCCGAAGGCATTCTAAAACAAAATTCTTTATCCCTTAACATTCTTATAAAATTTAACCAGACTTTGCAGAAAATGTGTCAAAATGGCAAGTACTTGGAGTCAAAGATCAATCAAATAGCTCTTATTGTTCAAAAGTCAGCCTATAGGGAGAACGCACTAATTATTAAAGATATTTTGGTACAAATGATCAACACTTATGAAATAATTTTATCAATTTTACAAGACTTAGAAAATTCAATAACTTTCTCAAAATTGAATATTATTCACCCAGGTATAATTAAGATTAACGACTTATTTAAAGAGCTTCTTATTTTGCAAACCAAAGTTGGAAAAAACCAAATGATTATACCTGTAACGTTAGAAAACACTTTTATTTTTGAGAAATTAATTACTATTGACTGTTTTATTTTGAATAATAAAATCAAGTACCTTTTGAGAATACTAATGACTAATCCAATAATTTTCGATTACTTTCATGTCTACTCAATCCCCATAAGACACGAGAGTTGGTTTAGGATTGTTTTACTGCGTGCAAAATATTTAATAAAAAGTGAATTGCAACATGCATACTATAATGGGCCCTACAAGGAGGCTACTAAAGGTCTATTGGTCTGCACCCAACAAGAAATCAAGAATAACGACAGCAGCAGTCCTTGCGACATAGCCTTGTTGAGCACAAATCCACAAATCACAAATTGCCACAAAACACAACTCAAAATCACTCAGCTAATAGTTAATCAACTAGAAAATTCCAATCAATGGATTTTAGTAGTCTCAGATGTACAGAGCGTTAAACTTAAATGCAACGCTCAGGATGAGATTCAGAATCTTCATGGGACATACCAAGTCAAAATTCCAAAAGAATGCCTGATCAAAATTGATCATCGCACAATAATTAGTGATGTCAGATCAATCAACCTTAGTACTCAGCCAATATTATTTCCTGATCTGCCAGATATTCCAACACAACAAAGCGAGATGGATTTGACTGTCAAATTAAATGAAGTTAAGTTAGATGAACTAAACCTTTTAAGGAATGAAATTCAGTTAAATTACCCACTTTTGAAGTTTTCGGAGTTTTACAAATATCCGAGCATATGGACCATCCATATATACATGGTCATAATCAGTTTGTGTCTATTTATTTGCTATAGAAGATTGTTACAGCCAAGATGCACCAAATCCAGCAAGAAACAGCAGCAAGAAGTGGAAGAACCTAAAGATCCAAAATGTGTTCAACTGCCCCTCTTGACGGTATAGTTAAAGCTTACGGGGGGAGGAGTTACCTCACTACCGAAGATCCAAGAATGCTGACCCAGCAGAGTCCTATTTCTACATATAAAAACGTAGTTTAACGGTGTCGACAACAGTTCTGTCTAGATATGTTATTGTAACAGACCATTTTAAAACGGTTGTAAATTTAAATAAAATTTTTAAAAAAGGCAACGGTCGTCCCGAGTAGTTAATTGGCGCAGTCGTAGCAGGATTTCCAGAAATTGACTAGCGCACCGTGTCGCGACGTCGATTTTTCGTATCATCGCACCTATTGGTGATTAGTGTTTGGCAGAGTGGGGTTTTCTGAAAATCGAAAACCCCAGTCTATCGAAGACCTGTACAGAACACGATCATCGGAAACTAGAAACCATATCGTCTAGTTTCGCAAGAACAAGAATATTTGTGAAGACCAATATCGCCGATCGAAGTCTTGTTCTTATAGAAGGGATGACCAGAACCGCCCCCTATCTAGTACCGTAAGTTGCAATTATTTGTTAATGTCGAAACTCGACGAAATAATTGATAATATTGAAACGTTACCTATCGATTTAAGTAATAATACACCTTCAACCAGCTCAGGTCAGAAAAATTATTTCGCAACAAATTTGGAAACTATTTTTGAAAAACATAATTTAGCATCAGACAGTCAATTTAGTGAATCTCTTATGAGTATGGCTACTTTTAAATCTGAACATCTCAACTGCGTCCCAGAATTCGATGGGAACCCAAACGATTTATCTAGATACCTAACTATTTGTCAAACTTTTATTGATAAATTTTATAATGTTAAAGAACCTGACTCTTTCGAAAATATTTACTTGTTGAATTGTCTGATTAGTAAATTGAAAGGAAATGCAAAAGTCGTGATCAATCTTCAAACATCCAGTACTTGGAATGATTTAAAAAATATTTTGTAGAGAAATTTCGCGGACCAAAGAGACGAATCATGTCTTAACAGAGATTTAGTGATGCTCCGCCAACAGCCATATATATATATATATATATATATATATATATATATATATATATATATATATATATATATATATATATATAATATGCGCACATATAGACACATTTTTTGTAGTCTTACTCTTACTTTTGCCAGCACTCATATGTATTCTGAAGTTTTGGTACTAGAATCTTCCATACCACTTTCAGATATTGAAGCGTTATGGTTCCTCCACTAATCTTCTTGCAGTGTGGTCTACAAGATTTTTAGCTTTATTTTATTATAAGTTTAAATTGCTTAGTTGATGGATTCAAGATTGCTGATTTAATTAGCTTTAGCCTTTCTGGTGGAGCATCTGCCACCATCTTTACTACTTCTGTGGTTTCCTCTTTCCTGATAAGCGTAAAGATTTCCCAGTTGCAAATTCTAGTTTTACTTTTAGGTTTGTAAACTATGTAAACTATCCATATTCTACCTATATTTTGTACAAAACTTATTGCGTTCCATCTTGAAATGAAATGAAAACGTCCATTGATTTTTGTATAAAGTCACTGCATAAAAAAGTTTCAATTAAATAAAAAAAAATCTTATGTAACTAGTTAAATTTTCTATGCGTTGTGAAGTATATTCAAGAGATAACTTGTTTGTTTATAGCGCAGAAAACAATTAATGTCGAGTTACTCTTATTCCGAGGCTTGTGTGTCCTTTTAAAAAAATAAGTAAATCCTTTGTCCCATCGTAATTGATTAGCATAGAACGCTATCACAAAAGACCACAGTACTCAAATGCAATATTAAAACCGATTTTTGTGAGAGGGTTTTGTTCAAAGCAAACTTAGTTTTTTGCGTTGAGATCCCAGTAAATAAAAAATACACTTTAATTATTTAAATTAGCGGATTTCAAAATTTATTATTGTTCAGCACTATAGGTGAATCCCAGACGCTTTTTATACAATGCCAATATTTTAGGTGAATCGGAATTTTTCTATTTTAATAGTTTATTTCTGATAAACCTGTTTTCGGAAAATCACGATTTGGATAATCAAGATTGTACTGTATAAATTTCTTAAATCCCTTTTTAAGTTTGACTCTGTCTGCCGGAAAAGATAGGATAAGGTAAAGGCCAAAACTGATAAAGTGACAATCTCAAATGAATATGAAGAAAATGACGAAAACAATTTTTAGGTAACTGTTATTAGTGTGTACCTTCTTTAAGTGCCTTGTAGCTGTCTTCCTTCCTGCAAGCCTTGGAAGCCTTCAAAATCTCAAACTCCACGCAATAC